TTCATAATAGGATGGTCTGTTTGACCCCAAATTGGTACAGAGTGTTTTTGTTTATACCTCCAGCTGGCAGGTCAGGCCAATCTATTTTTACCTCTAGATCCCCATGTCTGCAGGAAATATATCTTATCTTTAATCGGTCATTCAGCAGGGAACTGGGTCATCTGTGGTTTGTTAATATGTTGTGCTTGAGAAGTCATTGACCTCAAACAAACCATGGTAACAAGACACTAAACGCCTGCACATGACAGCTTGATAAATATAGGCAACCCCTTCCAATACGAAGTGCCACAACAAAATTCTTAAAGGATAGACATCTATAGACATCTATCATTCTGCTGATAAAAACAAAGTTTGACTCATAATATCTCTATTAAAATACACCAAAAGATTACAAAATAACAAGCTATTTCATGGAGGGACGATGTCTACGACTTCTCCTTGTTGTTTCTTTTTTTTCTCCCAAATCCCTGGGAGAACCCTGAAAACCTGTAGACTTGAATCAGGACCTGAATCTGAATTTAGCCCTGCAAGGGCTAGGGACATCTGTTAAGTTCTTCGAGCTGATCGACCGTTTAAAGGTCCATGATCTGACACCTGAGTACCTGAGTGATGAAATATAATATTGCACAATCGCTTTTTCATCATGTTCTGCTTATATAAACACAGCAATCAGCAAAGTCTTAAAAAAAAATAAAAAATAAAAATAAAATAAGATAATCCCTACCTACCGACCCTAATTTTTTCTGGACTGAAACAGGAAACACAACATTTTTTTTCCTTGGCCTAATGACATTTGGGGAGTAAAAGATCAACATCGTTACGCCACAAAAACATGTTGGAAAACTGCCAACTCCTCCATTACATGTATTTGTTTACAGTCTTTTTAGGAGCCTCCTGAAAATACAGCGGGCCTAGAGCAACTTATTCTCGCGCCTCAAAAAATTACATAGTGACACTAATATGTTGAAAGTTGTTAAAAATGACTATCTAGATGAGAACATTTCATTTATCTATATTTACAGTTCTAGCGCAAAAATCTTACATAATATCGCTTTAAACAGGTGGACAAAGTTCCCGCACTGCTTCTCAGCAGAGCTCTGTCACAGGTGCTGCAGGCGGCAAGGAGGACCAGAGAAGGAGAAGACGGGCCAAGAAAAAGACAAGCAGCAAGGAAGAAGGTTCTACGGACAAGGAGAAACCCGATTTCATCAAGAGAAACATTCAGGTAAGGTCATTACAGAAGTTAGCAATTGTAAGGACTGCCCCCTGGCAGTTAAGTGCATAAGTGCAGGTATAGCTAGCCAGGTCAAAATTTTAAAGTTGCAAATATCTATTGTGTTGTGTCTGGAGAGCTGCCAACTGCCCTTTTCAACAAGAGAATTAATTTAAGTGGGTAAGGTCCGCAAGCTATAAATAGGGTCGTAAATTGAGCCAGTTGTACCGACAATGTAATTATTAGTGTCTAGTGCGTTGCAAGAGTTACAGTCTTGCACATACACTGTAACAAGCTCCTCCATTAAAAGTGAGTGGTTCAAATAAGTATATGCTGGGACCGGTAGTTGCAAATCATTGTCCAGACGTTTTCCGATGTTCAAACTTTTGTCTATGACAAAGACAAGACAAAGAGAAGACAATGAAGGCAGTAAAACCAAAGGTTACTCCAAAATTGCGTTTCCAGAATCTGTCGCTGCTAAGGGGTGTGGACATGTCATTACCTTTGCCTAGGAGGTCATGTTTTCAGTTTTTTCTTTGTGTTTGCGTGTGTGACTGTGTCTAAACACGATAACTTGAGAAGGCTTAAATGGATTGCATTGATATTTGGTAGGCGGGTAGGTCTTGATGAGACCTCAAGATCGATGGCCCCCTGGTGGCTTGTTATGATTCTGCAGCAGATAACTTATACATGTACCTTTTTTATTAATCTCGTGGTGTGTTACATGTGTACTTGTGCTCTTGAATTCAAGAGGCATAACTGTGGGCCCTTAGCAGCTTAGTTGCTCTTGTTTCGTACGTGTTACATTTGTAAGTGACACATTTTGTTTTCACGTTTCACATTTTGAGTATCTCTAATATGGCTATGAAAAATGACATATGAACATTATTGGTATTGCTATTAGTAACAGAATAGATTTAGTTAAAGACTTTTTATCTTATAAGAGTACAGAAAATCTAGGAACTAGAATTGTCAACACATTTTAAAAACATTGCTTCCTAGCCTTCATAGAATCATTTCAATGTGTAATACTACATGTACATGTACTTGCTGAAGCTGTCTTTTTGGGCCTAGGAAAAAAATGTTGTGTTTCCTGTTTCCCAACCGACCCTAGAAAACCCTGCCGACCCTATCCTTTTATTTGGTGGACCCCTGCAATTCGCGCAAGGAACATAATTTTTATGAGCTGATCAACCTTTTCTAGCTACATGACACCTGATAAAACGTTGTACAATTAGTTTTGTAACATTGACATTGAAAATAAAAGTGTTATCATGCAAGTTTTACTATATTAAGCTGTAATGTATAAGTTGGAACCCTATATAGATATCACTGAAGTCTAAAAGAGAAAAAAAGATGATCCCTACCTACCGACCCTAATTTTTTCAGGACTGAAACAGGAAACACAACATTTTTTTTCCTAGGCCTTAAATCATCCGAGTGTCACAGTCATGCCTAACACGTCAAGTGGTCACCTATGACAAGGTTAGGACTCTGCCATCTCAAAAACACGATAACAATTTGTTACAGTGATGGGCAAACCAGGTGGTACACCACAACAAATTCTCCTCATAACTAAGTGATGTTTGGAGCAAAAACCGGGGACTTTTCCGTGTGATCTCTGCCACAGCTTTGCTCCCTTTCTTGGCAAAAAGCTTTCCGTGCGTGATTGTACTGTGTTTAGCTAAGCCAGGCGTTGTGATATTTTCATGGCCCCGGGTTCCTGTGGATTCTTCAGTATTGATTGCTGTTAGCCCTAGGCCACAGCAAGTAAACTTTATGGATGACATCCTCCGCAGACTCCAAATATAATGCGAGTGGGCAAAAAAAGAACAAGGCGGGCCGAAAAAAACAAGGTTCCTACATTTTAAAATTTTGAATCAATCATTGTACAAATGGTTTTTATTCAGTGGGAACATCACATATACACAGCCAACATCACATATCACTGCACCAAAGTAAGAAACAAAACATTAAATCAGAGCCTTTTCTTGTCTCCTCTCTCTATAGTTGTCTTCCATCCACCTTCTGGCATTTGCTCATTTTCGGCATGTAGACCACTGTCAGATTAGGCAACAAAATTTCTTGTTTTTTTTTTCCAAAATCAGGCGAAAATTAAAGGGGCACTATGTAAGATTTTTGCACCAAAAAGGAAAAAAAATGTTTTATTTGCAAAAATTCTTTTTATGTGTTACTGTAATTTCACACTTCCACTTTTCAACATATTTTGGCAATTGCCTCACATTTCTGGTTGGAAGCAAAACAGCCCACACAAGGTGCACTCAGTTTGTGGTGCCACCACAAACTACCAGAATATAAACAAACATGGCTGACAGCTGTGTTTCGAACTTTGTAACACACTTCTAAGGCGGCATACTTTGAGTAGGGTTGATTGATTCAACTTACTTTGTAAAGAAATGAAAAAGAAAATTAACTTTTCGGATCTTCCTAATGTTACATAATGCAGCTTTAATGTGCGCGCTGATGTCATCCATAAAAATTACTTGCTGTGGCCTTACCCTGGAGTGAACCTGGGGTTGGTGGACTTGCCCGCCCACGGTAAACGTATGAACGTGTGTTTTTCCCATCTCGCCCGAGCAGGAAAACAGAGGGAGAGTCTTCTCAGACACCAACTGTGTGCACTGTGGAGAAATTGTCACCACTGTGTGAGTTTTTCTCTGGAACCCGGATAGATGTGTGACCCAGCAAAGATAAGGCAATGGGAAACACATCCCGGCTGTTCTATTAGCTTTGGCAGGGCTCAAAATATTTTTTTCTGCATACCTGCACTGGTGCAGGTAAAATTCAAAATTACTTGCACCAGACAAATTTTACCTGCACCACTCAGAACTTCAGTCAGAAGTATGGATCATACTAAAAGCTGTTCAGAAACCATTGCCATTATTTCTTTTATACTTCATAGGTAGTGACAGTCAATGCAGCAAATAGAAATCCACATACACCTAGGGGAGTACACATACATGTATACATACATGAACTGTGCCCCAATTTTACCTGCACTAACCTGCATATACCCAGTACATGGACCAGTGCAGGTTAGGGGCAGGTAGACTTCAGAAATACCTGCACAGCTCCAATTTTACCTGCACTAACTTGCATATACCCAGTACATGGACCAGTGCAGGTTAGGTGCAGGTAGACATCAGAAATACCTGCACAGCTCCAATTTTACCTGCACTAACTTGCATATGGCAAGTGGTATTGTGGCATGGTATTTCCATCCCTGACAGCAATGGAAAACAGTCCTATCGTTGTGTAAAAGTCATTGGTAAGGTGTCAATGCACCCTCTAGTCCCAGAGGAGTATTTCTTGGCACAAAGTTCCAAATTGAGTAACAGTGTCTTGTGCAACTGAAGAGGTGTTTTGAGAATTGTTGACGTCAATGTGACGCAATCTTGTAACAGTCTTTGTAAACAAACAACAAGACTGACTCGTATAGCTACCGGAAGGCAATCCTCTGAGCACAATCAAAATCACATCAAGGAAAACAACAGTGCTTAGAAACTTACAGGATGGCTTTTATATTTGAATCAAGAAAAGTGTGCTAATTCAATTTAGCAGGTTTTAGATTGTTTGACCGTTCTCAGTTTTCAATTTCTTGTCTGACTAGTAGTTCCTTTCCATACCTATTGGTGCATATGGCAGCACTCATCTCTGTTTCTGTAGCCCTTGGGCCACACATTTATGCGATCACTACAGCAGGAGAATAGTGTGCTGGTAGAGTGTGCCATACTCGGAGTGCTAAACAGAGAAAGCAGTGTGTACCATTTTTATTTTAAGTTTTTGGTATGACTTGGCCAGGGGTCGAACTCACGACCTACCAAATGCAAGGCGAGCGCCCTGCCAACTTGGCCTCCTCATACTGAAACAGTTCAATGTTGGACGGTCAGAGATACGGTGATAACTTAGCCACTGGTTTGTGCCAAACTTATAAGTCTTGTGATTATTCTCACAGGTGTTTGTCATTCCATGAGGGTCCGCATAGGGGAATTCTGGCATTGCCATGCCATACAAAGGGTTTCTCAATAATGGCCCCATGCGTCACGAAGGCTCCCCCTTGTACATGTAGACCCTCTTTGTGATTCTGTTTACACAGAACTCTAACTTCTCCTGCACCACCCCTTACCAACATTGCCAAGATCCCCTCATGCAGATCCTCTCCCAGGATCCCCCCATGCAGACCCTCTCTGTGATTCTGTTTACACAGAACCCGTGTCCTGCACCACACCTTACCAACATTGCAAGGATCCCCACATGCAGACCCTCCTCCAGGATCCCCCCATGCAGACCCTCTCTGTGATTCTGTTCACACAGAACCCGTGTCCTGCACCACACCTTACCAACATTGCCAGGATCCCCACATGCAGACCCTCTTCCAGGATCTCCCCATGCAGACCCTCTTCCTGGATCCCCCCATGCAGACCCTCTCTGTGATTTTGCTTACACAGAACCCGTGTCCTACACCATCCCTCATCAGCATTTTCGGGATCCCCCCATGCAGACCCTCTTCCAGGATCCCCCCATGCAGACCCTTTGTGATTCTGTTTACACAGAACTCGTGTCCTGCACCATCCCTTAAAGCTTTAATACCAGCCTGGCGTTGGATGTCTTAATTGTGCCGGGGCAGGGTTCAGTGAGAGGTGTGCCCAGGCTGGGTGTGTGTGTGCAGCTCCTGAATTCCACACATGCCACAAAGCCCCATGATTACTTCACGATGGGATCCACAGTCATCCACTTCAACTTCACACTTCAAATCACTTTACATTCACGGTGGCAAAAGTTCGCTGTCTGAGAAAAATGGACACGTCCACAAAACTATACATCCGAGGTGGCGACAGGTGCAGCAAAAAAGAAAGCCAGCAAATTATTAGTTCACAATAATGATAAGTTTGCGGTACAGAAGTGACTGTAAAAACGCCGAACATAAAATCACTGCGGAAAAATGGTGATTTACAGTATTGTGAAATCCCCACTGGTAACCAAGGAGACACGAATGATGGACAGAACTTTATATAGGAATAAATAGTGACTGATGCCACCTTTCTTTTTTTACCTTTCACACCATTTCAACAAACTTGACCTTGTTCCATAGAACCCACTTCTGGTATCAACAGTTACAAAATGTAAATAAAGTCCAATGCCAAGTACTAGTCTAGATATAGGAAACTTGTGTATTATTATTATATTTTCCTCCACCTTAAGTTATTTCTTGTTATAAACAACTTTCTGAGTCAGAAACATAGTTTTAAAGAAGAGAACTAGGAACCATTTAGATGTCAGTTTAGCGTCAGTTGTTTGATGTCTTACGAGGGTTAGGCCACACCAATTTAATTTCTTGGTTAACGGATTTTTCTAGAAAAATAATAGAGCGGGCGGGCGAAAAAAAATAAAAATAAAAACAAGCCTAGGCATCCTATTATGGCCCAAAATGGTACGATAGGAGCCATGAAGTCAACACACCAGGCTGGTTCAATATTTAAACAATGAATTTTGAACTTTTAATGATACCATTGCATTGAAAGATGGAATAACTGTAACAACTAGGATGAAAACGTCTGTTTTCAACTGTTCAGGGCAAAATATGAGCATTTTGCAGTTGATTCTGGATTTTTATTTTTATTTGTAAATCAGAAAAAAATGAAGCGGCGAATCCGTTAACCAAGAAATTAAAATGGTGTGGCCTTAGACGTGCTTGCACACTGATGCTGAGACTTGATGGCAGCCTGCCATTTGCCTCTGTCCTGTGGGTTGAAGTTATGTAGAGGTGGAGGTCCTCCCCTCACATTGTCTGTCCATCTCTTCCTTTTTGCCCTCGTGGGTTTTGGCCTTCCACATCCAGCGTGATGGTCCTCCTAGGCCACTTCTCACTGTCCATTCTTTGGGTGTGGCCATACCATTTTAGTCGGTTAGATCTTAATGTATGTCCTGAATGGTATGATCTTCCAGTCTGAATCTTAACTGTTCAGCTGACTGACTATCTGCAAGTCTCCTGAAGCGTTTCCATTGGACCATGGCATTGTCACTCCTAGGTAACATCTTCATGGCTGTTGTCACTGCCAACTGACAATTGTCTCATGACACTTCTTATACAGCAGTTGAAGACATGCCCACGGTTTCTAAAACGTATAATTACATGTATGTAACGTTACTTGTTCGTACACCCGTAAAAAGGCCTGGTGGAGGCTAGCCTCAGCATAGTAACACAAGTGTTCATATAGTAATTACATGTACCTGGAGGACATAGTCATGATGTGTGTGTTATCTAACATGATGAGGTCAGCAATCAGGTCACCCGTAGTGTCCGCACCCACAATACTTATGGCACAAGTAATGAAAGTAACGTTGGCACATCCCTCGAGGTTCCCCCCTGGGCCCGTCTGCGTGCCTTCTACGTCATCCGCATTTTTGTCTCCCAGCGCCGCGGAAAATAAGTGAGGACCTGCATGGGGGGGTAGCGAATACGAATTACGAAAAATTTTCGCCACCGATTACGAATTACGTTGACGTCTCAGAGCCGATTACGACTTTACGATTTTCAGCTAACGTACTATTACGAATTATGTTGCTTTTTGGGGAGGCTGTCTATGAATTACGACGACTAAAAAGGCCTGATTACGCCTTCCGAAAAAGGGCATGCAGGCCCCCGTAAGTGACACATTGTCCGTCAGCGTCATGTAAAGCAAGTGACATTGAACAGATTTGACAGTTATGTGCGTCTGAAGTCTTTGTTTGAATGTAAACGGCTCTTGATCACCTTGTCAGGAGACGACCTTGAGAGTAGGTGTTTATTCTGCTCTTGTCGCGTGTACATTTGCATACAAAGAAAACAAGGGTACCAATAACTCATCTTGTGGTTGATATTTTTCTCATTACATGTAGTTACATCAAAGAGGTTAGACCATTAGAGAGCTACTTGGTTACATTGTACGTGGATTCCTTTTGTTTTCCTCATTTTAATATCTATTAATGAGAATGTGTGTGTGTGTGTGTGTGTGTGTGTGTGTGTGCGCGTGCGTGCGTGCGTGTGAGAGAGCTTAAGAATATCAGCTTTGCTTTGCTGGAATTTTAGTTAAGAGTTGGTCAGCCATCATGTACCACGGTAGGTTATACCACACACCCTGTCAAGTTTGAAATTGTTTCTACCTGTAGTACCCAGATTTTGCTGGGGGGGTGGGGGTCTGTGTTAGGAGGGGGTGTTGTCCTTCGATGTTGTTATACATATAGGCCAGGCAGCTAGTATGTTGTATGTTGGGCTATTGTAGGACATAACGGCCTTTGCAGTAGTTACCTTGAATAATATAGTAAAGCCTGAGTTTGTAGGTTTGTATATATTTCCTCTGATGACAACAGGTACTAGTACTCTCCAAGCAGACGTTAGGTTTTGACTTTTCTTTGGCATTTTTAAACATTTTTATCTGGCTTTCTTTTTTGTACTGCTATCTTTTTTTTTTACGCTCCGGACAGAGGCTTACATGTAGGCTGTGGCTTATTTTTGGCATGTTTTAGCCATTTTTATTGACTCAGAGCTTCTTTTGTTGTTTGTTGTAGATGGCATGATATTTGTTACTGTTTTGCCAATTTGATACATGTAGCCACCAAAAGATCTGCTTGGAGATTAAGGTACTTAGTAGGGTATAACTAGAACACGGCGTGTCTTTTCAGTAATGAGTCGTTTGCATGTCCTGAGTACCTTTACATGTCCTAAGGAGGTAATTAACCCCTGGGCACTACTCGAGATTGTCCATTCTGTCCCGCTGCATAATTACCCCTAATAACAGAGTACGGCGAGGCTGGATCAGATGTAATGATGTGTGAGATTGCGACCAAGCCCAGCGAGAACACCGCTCGCACTCACGCACAGGTAACACCGTGTCATTAATCCATCAGGCGGGCCCTCCGCCAGCGAATCAAACCGTAATTACGCACGGTACCGTAACTTGCTTCACGTTCACGGTAGGGAAATTTCACGATCTGAGAAAAATGGGAAAAAAAGTATTTGTTCACGATGGCAGTGGATGCAGGAAAAAAGAAAGTCGGCGATTGATTTGTAAGCGGTTATGATAAGTTGGCAGTACAAAAGTGACCGTGAAAACCGTGAACATAAAATAACCGTGAAAAAACAGGAATTACAGTATCCCACCGCCCAAATCTACAGGTGAGCTGACATTGAAAGGTAAAAACGATTGCTGGAAATGATAAGGCTAAACCGGCCAGCATCACGAATTATTAAGAGCTTATATCTCATTGTTACCGACTTCTCTAGATTTAACTTTGGCCTCATGTGTTCTGGTCATACCAGTTTGGAATGATACAGTTGGACAAAAGTTAATTGGAAGGATAATCTGTTCTATATTGTGGCAACACTAAGCCATTGCAGACTGTTTTGCTGTAGGTGTATAGAACCCAGGCTTACACAACACACACAGCGCAAAAAGTAGATTCAACTTTGTCAGCAAACAAAATGTTCAAGTACGCAAGTCTTTGTAACATTAAAAGTACACAAACCTTGGCTCGCAGAGGTATTCATACGCAGTACAATACCAAACAAAGGGAAGAAATAACACAAATATTTAGCATGATACTGTGACCTGTGAGGTATGTGTTTCTGCTAACAGACAATAGACAGCAAAAAGCTTCCAAATTGCTCATGAACAGGTTAAGAAGGTTGCTTACACAGCAGCGTGTCTTGACATTTTTTCTGCATTGTTGTTTGAAGTAGTTGTTGAGTATCCATTGTGCGACATCCATTGAGGCTGAAAACAGTAATGAACAATTAACATTTTTGTAGATCGAGCCACGCACATGGCCTGGGAGGTAACTTAAAGAGCAAGGCCGCAAGCGGCCACCAACCACAACATAACTACCTCACCGCAAATTACCCCCTGAAAGGCCTTGTCTACCTGTCTATTTGACTATCCATCTATACGTGACATTGTTAATCTTGTCTCTTCAGGGCTCGATAATTATGCATCTTTCTGCATACCATTCACTGGTCCAGGCAACATTTGAAATTACCTGCACCAGACACTCAGAATCGAGGAAGTATGGATCATACTAAAAACTGTTCAGAAACCATCGCCATTATTTCTTTTATCAAATATACTTCATACTATTAGGCAACAGTCAATGCAGAAACTACAAATTTGTATACACCTACACGTAAACCCAGTACATAGACCAGTGCAGGTTACACAATGTAGGTTCAGGTAGACATCAGAAATACCTGCACGGCTCCAATTTTACCTGTGCTAACCTGCATATACCCAGCACATGGACCAGTGCAGGTTAGGTGCAGGTAGACATCAGAAATACCTGCACAGCTCCAATTTTACCTGCACTAACCTGCATATACCCAGTATATACATGTACATGGACCAGTGCAGGTTAGGTGCAGGTAGACATCAGAAATACCTGCACAGCTCCAATTTTACCTGCACTAACCTGCATATACCCAGTACATGAACCAGTGCAGGTTAGGTACAGGTAGACATCAGAAATACCTGCACAGCTCCAATTTTACCTGCACTAACCTGCATATACCCAGTACATGAACCAGTGCAGGTTAGGTACAAGTAGACATCAGAAATACCTGCACAGCTCCAATTTTACCTGCACTAACCTGCATACACAGGTGGTTTTTCAAGCCCTTTGTATAGAAAAGAGAATTTCCTGGAAGACTCTTTGTGTATGACATATCCCACCCGTCTGTTGTTTCTACAGTTGGCCTCTGATGCTAACAGCCTGATTGCGATGACTGATGATGAGAAGAAGCGACTAGAAGAACTGCTGGAGAACATTGATACGGAAGAAGACAATCAGGTGAGTACTTCACAGAGATGGGTAAGGATGAAGGAACCTTGCATCCTTATTTAAACATTGCACACACCTATACACGTAGGACATGCTAGACAAGTATGTTTAAAAACAAGAGCTTTTAAAAAAGCTGTCGTTCGCCGGCATATTGTTGATGATAAGACCTTTGATTGGAATCTAGCTACCATACATACCTTGTGTGTTTTGAGTTAGTATGAAGGGATTTTCACTGTTGCCATGTAGATCATAGGAAATTAGATTATCCAGAATTGATGATCATCAGGAGCTAATTGGCTTCATTAGTGAGGAAAATATATCTTAAAGTACTTAACTATATTTGAAACCACTTAGGTGGCAAAAGAAAAAAACAAATTTCATGATCAAAAGTTTCTGAACTAAACGGGTTCAAACCCGGGTATTGCTCCTCTCGGTATGTACCTCCCCTTCTTTGCTGGGCACAACCTCAGCATCTCATCTGCAGGGTAACGCGAGTTAAAATCAGAAGAAAAAAAACAATCTGTATGACGAAAAAAGGGGAATCTCTCGCCATTTTGAATTTGCGCAGTGTGCCATCCTGCGCTGGGGTGTCCGCCACGCTTCCTGGCCATGTGTCTAAAGAAAGCCGTCACTCGATGGTCAAACGATGGTCGTGAATCGTAGACTAAGTCCGCCAAAGGAGTAACGTTTGCCGCTACCGAAGCTTGTTGGGGGTCACCTTGTTCTTTGAAGTCCACTAATCACCCTCTGGTGCCAAGTGGTGATCAGAAGTAAATCCTTTTATTGCTTTGTGAACAGACAACTGTCATCATATAAACCATTTGACAACACCAGCATAATAGAAAAGGGGTAACGTTGTTGCGTTACGCTGACACAACCCGTTTGACCTTTGTACCGTCATGCCCGGCGGCGCCCCACAGTTCGCTGGTTGGTTTATTGCTTAAATGATCTTTTACTTAGTATATTATTCTGCACTGAGGTAGTTCTTTTGTTGGCATAATGGCGGGGATTACCTTTATACCGTTTGATCAAGGCGACAGGATTCAGAGCGGCAAACTGTACTCCTCTAGCGGATCAACTCCGTTGGCATGTTGCCTGTCTATTTGGCCGATTTCTACTATTTCTAGCTGGCTCTGAAGCCTGGTCGAGGCAAAATTAGTGGACTAACTTCTCTGGCAATGTTATCTGTCTATTTGGCCATTTTCTACTCTTTCTAGCTGGCTCTGAAGCCTGGTAGAGGCAAACTGTACTCCTTTAGTGGACTAATTCCTCTGGCAATGTTATCTGTCTATTTGGCCATTTTCTACTCTTTTTAGCTGGCTCTGAAGCCTGGTAGAGGTAAACTGTACTTCTTTAGTGGACTAACTCCACTGTTATCTGAGTGTCTATTTGGCCAATTTCTACTCTTTCTAGCTGGCTCTGAAGACCGGTAGACTGTTGGTTTAGAAGTGATGGTGTCAGTTTCTGACAACTATTCTTCTCAGTGTCATGACAGAAATCTTCCTACCATACATAAGGATTAGCGGGATTATGGTTCAATGCCGCACGACACATAAAGAAAGGATAGAATTACGCAGAGCATAGTTGATCAAAATTCTGCTTGCTAACTCGTACACCTACAGGTTATGGATCGTCTCATCCTAAAACCCACATGTAGGTACGTCCCTCAGATAGGACGTTAAATGGAGTTCCCGTGTTTAAAATTTGGGGAGAGCCACACCCCACGAAAGCAAAAGAACTCACCGGACTTATCGAAAAGAGTAGGGGTCCTTCCCGGTGTTAGTGCATGGTTCAAACCTTACATGTACATTCCGGTCTTACGCAGCTTGTACTTACATTGTACAAAACTGGTGTGTTACGTCTAAAGGCGGTTTACCGGTTATGCTAAACAAACAAATAAACAACCCTACTTCACACTAGAAATGGAAGGAACCAGAATGCCAAAATGGATTGAAAATTCTTTGTATGTCCCTGTATATTTGAAGTGCATTCTAGAAATTCTCTTTACTTTCCATGCAAATATTTGTGCCAGTGTTTGCAGCTTGCTCAAAACTCTCCAGGTGAATTCAAAGTGGAAAAATATTGAAGGGCATTCAATGTGTATTCTAACTGCGGCAGTCACAACTGTTACAGTATTCTAAATATTCCTTCAGCAATTCCAACAGTGTTTGAAACACTCTAATCACATGCAAATTCAAGGAGAACCAAAATATGGGCCTGAGTATTTGGAATGCACCAAGAATTTTGAAGAATGCACTTAAAAAAGCCAGGAGTATACAATTGAATGGCATTTTTTGGCAGCCGGCATTTTGGCTCACTTTTTCTCAGGTGTGTGTGGGGGTATAACTATGTACACTGACAGTACGGTTTTACCGAATGTGGCAGGATTTTGGCAATTCTTCATTTCAACTATTTCTGCTAGACTTCTACTGATTCAGAATTAAGTGTGAAGTCTTTAAGGTTACTCATCCTTATATTCTCCCAAGAAAGCCAAGTTTGGACAGCTGACAGATTTCAACAACAGTCTCTCAAAACAAACTTTTCGATTATTTATCCTGCTAATTCTTCCATAAAAGAGGATATTCAATGAATGGGGGATGTTTCCATAACTCCGCTGTTTTATGTTTAAAAATAAAACATTCTATCTTGTAGGCCATTAGTCTGTATTATTTTTAAGCTGTTATGAAAACGTCCCGTGTATTTTGACAACATTGCATACGAGTTCAAGTTCATGTATATAAATACAGAAAGCCCCACATGAGATGGCAGTCAAGTTTAGGTAAGAATGAGGATCTGCATGGGGGGATCCTGGGAATTCTTAATGGTGAATTTAGCGGGGCCGACAATGTTTTAGAATAAATTCAGGCAGGTCGGCAATGCAAAGTTTTTGTCAAAGGATTTGGGAGCAGTTTCTTTGGAATAATGCTCTTATGATTTTTGGACAATCTGGCATTCGACTACATGATATGGAAAATCTTTTAAAATACATAACCATGAATTCAGGATAAAGAATGTTCAACCTGGTGGAGCAACCAATAATGGTACAGTATGCTTCATGAAGACGCTTAGGACCTGACAATTCAACGTAAAGTGTCTTGCTACGATTAGATTTAAAATGGCTTGCTATATGCCTCACAGGAAAATGCATGCAGACCTTCCTCTAGCCTGATTAAATTGCTTTACGGTTGCCGTTCTGCCCAACATCCAGCCGCCCCCAAAACAGGGAGGGGCCACTAAAGCCACGGACGGCAAAGTTTGCGTTACACAGACTAACCTTCCTCTATGGAGGTCATATGTAAACAGGTTTGATGTAAAGATGTCACAGTCTTATTGCATGTATGTGAGGATAAGGCCACACCAAGTAAATTTTATGGATGACGTCCTTTGGAGACCCTAAATCTAATGCGAGAGAGTGAAAAAAAACCAAGAAAGGCCCTAAAAAACAAGAGGCCTAGATCAGTAAAATAGTAAGAGACGACAAATGTTAGGACACAAATTGAATGAGGTGACACAGTGTAACAAGCAAGAAGTCTTTCATTCATCATCAAAACAGCAATAAATCAGGTGGAACATCAGTTGTCGTCCTGTCCTGTTTTCGCGTTACGGGTTTCAAGTCAATCTGACGAATTGCGGCACTGTCGTGACTCTTTGGTCATAGTTACAGGAAGCGGAATTTCTTGTTTTTTTTTTCTAGGAACGGGCCAAAATCAATGCACGCGCGGACGTCATCCATAAAATTTACTTGGTGTGGCCTAACAAAAAAAATGTTCACCCATCTCTGGTGTAACCTCTTATATCAGCTCTATTTTGACCTAACTTACTATTTTGAACAATGATGTTCAGTAACGTTGATTAAAAAACATGACATTTCTTGAGAAGCGGATAAAACAAAAAGTATTCCACTCAAAGAAATCTATTATTCTGACATTTACTGCCATATCTCAGCACATTTTTGTCATCACTTCATAATTGAAGCATTTGAAATTACCCCAAAACTAGCTCCTTGAGGCTTCTCTTTATTTTTGGGTACCACCCAAAAGATAGCTAGAACCAGCCTATGATACAAAACAAGCATTTTTCTGTAAGTGACATCAAATTTTGGCTCACAGATATCACCATGTCAAAAGGATGACTAGAAAATTGACTTTGAAAATCTTGCCAACCTGAAACTGCATTGGATGCCTTTAACTTTATGACCAGTGACAGATGGTGTTGAGATCAAAGGCACAGTCCCAGAAGAAGGCTCTCGTGTTTCGCTTGACGTCTCCTCTGGAGGGTTTTCCCCAATGTCCTGGCTGTTAGTTTGTATCTGTAGGAAAGTTACTTTCATCAGTTGCAACTGTGGAATGCAAGCAACCATTAGGCCACACTGACTTAATACTATGGATGACGTCCACTGAAGGCACCTAAACTAATTCAAGCGGGCAAATAATCCAGCGAAAACAAAAAATGCTCCTAACCACAGGAATACAAAGGTAGTGTTGCAAACTTGTGATTGAACATGACTACTTTAATTTTACAACAAGCCGGCACGTGCTGGCTTTTGCGGAATTTATTAGTCTGCACTGTACTGAGTTCCTTGGAGCCTTGGTACCCTGGGTGCCGTCCTCCATAGTTACTGCCGGCTCTCTATTGTATCTGTATCAGTATAGCCAGTATAACCACCATTCGGCGTAACACACCAGCTTCGCAGGCACTCGGTGCGGCGGCAGCTAGCTATATCACACCGAACGACTTGTTACACTCAATCTTTGCACATTTAATTGTAGGAGTTGTTTAAACGTAAAATTGTAAAAGTTGTTGTCGTATTGTCAGTAGCTACCATGGATTGTACCCAGGCTTCAGCCTTGGAGTATTTTTTCTTCTTTTTTTTTTAGAACAGGCAAAAATCAATGCGTGTGCTGATGTCATCCATAGAATTAAATCAGTATGGCCTTACCTCTCATCACTTGTAGGATTTGGGACCATCCTTCGGGGGTCCTGGGATGTGCTCCAAACCCCCAACATGT